CAGCTGTAAAAAGGATGGACAAGAAGTAATCCATAACTTTCCATTGACTTCCATTTTCCAACATGACAACCTCCTCCTCGTCCCCTGCTGAACTTGGGTGTCTGTGTGCAATCCACTAAAGGACTACCAAGTACATTGGCCAGCTACCCAGGATGTTACTGCCCAATTCAGAATTCTAACTTTTTGTTTGTTTTAGAAAATGGATAGCAAGGGTGGAAAAAGCCAGCTTGAACCCCACTCGGACAATGGTCCTGCAATCTAAACATGGAGGAGCCGGTAGCTCATTTCTCCTTCAATGGGAGATTATCCAAGATTTATTTATTTTTATTTATTTATTCATCAGATTTGTCACTGCCCATCTTAGTGAAATGAATCTGGGCAGTTTACAAGAAGATAAAAATTCATTGAAATACAACATAAAAACAATCCTAAAAATAAATAAATTCCAAGAAGATAGAAAATTGGCAAGTAATTCCAGTAAAAACAATCCTAAAAATAAATAAATTCCAAGAAGATAGAAAATTGGCAAGTAATTCCAGTAAAAACAATCCTAAAAATAAATAAATTCCAAGAAGATAGAAAATTGGCAAGTAATTCCAGTAAAAACAATCCTAAAAATAAATAAATTCCAAGAAGATAGAAAATTGGCAAGTAATTCCAGGGAGCACTGTTAGGGGGCTAACCACCCTCAGGGGCGGGTAGAGCCCATATCGCCCCATGCACACTGACAGAGCCAGGTCTTTAAATCTTTTTGGAAAGCCAGGAGAGTAGGGGCCCGCTGTACCTCTGGGGGGGAAATATTCCAAAGGGCAGGGGCAATGGCAGAGCAGGCTCTCTTCCTGGGCCCCGCCAGCCGACATTCCCTCGCTGGCGGGATCTGCAACATGCCCTCTCTGCCTGACCGGGTGGGACGGGCTAATGAGATGCTGTGGCAATTGTTGTTCACTCTGCAGAGTGCTCGATAAACGTCTTTGCGCCCAGTCCATTCAGCAGAAGAAACCTCTTTCCATTCCAGCCCTCTCTGAAGCTACATCGCATTTACTTGGTCATCTCTAGATGACAGCAAGTGGGGACTGTCATTCCAGTTTAAATTTTGTATGTGTTTTATAAGCACGTTGGTTTGATGGTTTTCTTGTAAATCACTTCGGGCTCCCCTGCAAGGAGGAGTGACACAGAAATAGAATCAATGATAATCTGTGTCTTACCCGATATAACACTGAGCCTCTGCTGATGAGTTCCTGCCTCTGCAGTTCTGCCTGGACGTACTCGGGGTGGGCCAAAATGACAGTCAGCCATATGTAATGAAGGGAGTTTTCCTCTGACGTATCTCCCACTGCAGGCCAAAGAGAGGAGCACAGCAACTGAGGATGCACCCCCCTTGGGAACACTGGGGAGCCGAGAGACCCTGTTTCAGACTCAAACAAACAGCCTCATACCATGCCAGTCAGTTATCGAAAACAAAGGGACAGATAGAAACGGTCCTTCCTGCCCCAAAGAGGATTCTGCCCATTACATAGTGTAGGGAGGAGAAAGATACCACAACAGCATCAATGGCTGATCTAACTTTTCTATAATCCAGCTACTTATCAGAAATTCTTGTATCCCTGATTGCCTGTTTATCTATGTCTAGTCCAGATTTCTGGGTGAAGCCAGACATTAGGACTGAGGTCACTTCACCCTAAAAAGGACGTCACACATTTAGAATAAGGCAGCAAAAATGAACAGAGGGGACTGGCCGGGCTATTTCTTTACATGGCTTCTATGAGGGTTCTCTGTGCCTCCTCTCCATGAGACTGACTCAAAGCCCTCAGAAAGGCTCAAAAATAACTGTAACAAGGCCATCCTCCTTGTAAACCTTTTAAAAAGTGTGTCTGTGTGTGTGCCAAGTATCATTACAGTATTACCAGAGCTTGACATAAATTGTTAGTACTAACAAGTAATGTTTCATACAACCTTTTCTAAAGTTACAGAACTATCAATTGTAAAGTTAATGAACTACACCTCATTAAAACTTCCCTGCTTTGGAAGCTTAAAGACTCTATTTAGATAGATATGAATTGTCATGTTTTAACTGACATTCCCCTTTGTACCAAACAACTAGAACGTGGTTGGAAAATATCGTAACGCAAAAGAGTAACTCATGTCAATCTACTTAAAGCTGCTTACCAATCGCATGGCACTTTTAGAGGCTGTTCGGACATTCACAAACACGGATTGCATAACCCGGATGCCCTTGATGTCCACCTGACCTTTTTTATATTAGTAGTAGTAGTAGTAGTAGTGGAAGTAGTAATGTCTTTGGGGTGCCAGAGAGCATCCTGGAACACTTATTCATCCTTGGGTAACAGTACAGTCAGTTTTGGGGTAAAAGAATGACTGAATTGTCTTTGGCAGCCATTCTTTGAACAGGCACATCTCCAACAAAAGCCATTTTGGGAGCGTGACCTCTGGTTGTTTCTACTCACCCCACCGGGTCCAAGAGAAGGAGATCGCTCTGGGTCCCAGGCATTTTCTGTTGCAGCGCTTGCCCAAAATCTGGCTGGCCCCAACTCTGCAAGCATTCCAGAGAGTCTTCGACATATGGCTGTTTTCCCCAGCATGAAATTTGGGAGGTTAAAGGGGGCCGGCGGGATGAATGCTATGGCTGTGATTGTTGCTGTCCCTGGCTGCCACTATATGTACATTTCTGTGGCTGGTTGTTTTTTATTGATTTTTAAATTTCGTTAGCCTCCCAGAGTTGCTGCTTGCAAGATAGGCAGCCATAAATGTACTGGTATAAATAAACAAATGCTCACAGAAATCCAAATATGCCTTTGAACCAATGAGGTGGCCTCACCCTGCCCCATACGGACTCTGATAAGGCAGGACAGGATGATTCCCCTGACGTTCGCTTTGTGCGAGACAGGCGGCTATAGAAATGTGACATACAAATAAACAAATGAACAGATAAATAACTAAATTCCAGGCTGAAGGAGAGGGGGGTGGCCAAGGCCACCTAGTTTCTGCATTCCCACAATATGCTCAATGTGGTAACTGAGGAGTATGCATAATATACTGAATAATAACTAACGAAGCAGGCTAGGCCTTTTAGATCAAGCAATAACGGAGGGAATTGAATGGGGGAGTGATGTTCGGGGACAAGTTCTCCTTATCAGCCACTACTCCTTACTGCTCTCTCTGGCCGTCCTGATGGTCAGGAACACGCTAAAGGTGTAGGCTGTATTCTTGTCCAGGTAGATCGTTCCAGGCAGGCGGTTGTTTGGAATCAGGTTGTAAATTTTGACATAGTTGGCCATCTCAACATGGATGCCCCCCAACAATTTCCAGTTGCTTGCCATGTAGTTATAGTACTCCTGGAAAAGGAGGGGGAGGAGGAGGACGGAGAGGCCAGTAAGTTCCAGAAGGGACGACCGCATCTTTCACGCTCGCTTCCTTTTGCACTCACACTAAGCAAGTCTTACGACAAGAGCAGGCGAAGGCAGCAGCCTGCTTCACAGTGACCCAACCCACAGTTTCACTCATTTTGCTCTTGTTGCGGGTTTTACTGTTTTTCCGCAATTCTGATTTTGTCAGGCTTAAAGAGAGGATTAAGAGAGTAGAAAGGTTCTTTCTGCCCCATTTTTTTTTTTTCCTTACTGCATATATTTTCTTCTTCTTCCACCAGCGCCAAGTGGGATCATGGACTGGGTCCGCATAAGGCTAGGGAGACAATATTAAATGATTAAATGAATATGCAATATATCTAGTTGATATATATCAACAGTATGTTATTTTGGGGCTTTTCCTGATTTGTTTCGTTTTTCTTTTTGTTCCTTTTAATGCTACAGTCTAACAGCTAATTAACATGTTGGACATGACTTTTCATTTGCTTTTGTAAATGGCTTTCTCTGTATTTCTCTTTTTAAAATTGCAGGATTATTTTTTTAAATAAGGCTAAGGATTTGATAAGGTATGTTTTGGAGACAGAAGGAAAAACTCAGTTCAGCCGGCCTCAGAACAGACGATGGGATGGAAGAATGGCTTAGCATCTGATTTGCTGAAGAGCAGCAGAAGGGCTAAAATGCTACCAAACCTGCTGATTCTGGCCAACCCAGTAATGCAATAGGGTAGAACTGGGAAAATGTCCTGCCTGCTGCCCTGGAAAGCTGCTCTTTGTCAGTGCTGACAATACCAGATTAGGTGATTAATCTGACTCCCAGCTAGGCAAATTCTTGTGTTCCTAGGAGTAAGAATAACCAGCCCAGGAGGAGGGCCAAACAGTGAATGGGGGCCAATCCTCCAGTGTCCCAGTTAGGATATCAGCCTCTTGTCCAGGGAAAATTAAATGTTTTGGGGCTTCTTAGCAAAAGATGCTGGATCAGGGATTAGGATCTCTGAAGCTTATTCAGGGCTGAGTCAATGGGCCCTCTCCCCACCTCCTCATCAAAATGCCCCAAAATCTTATCACCTTCTTCTCATGGAACCTTGTGGCAGAGTGCTAAAATCTTGCTTGTTTTTATCTGAAACTTCATTGGATTTTTGCCATTCTTAAACATTTTTAACATTATTTATGAGGGGGGTGGGTCTGTGGACTCCACACAGAGGTGCTGTGGGTAGCCTGGCTCTAAAAAGTGCTGTATTACACACACATGCATTTCTGTCCTATTCCTTTCTACCTAGTGGGTTGCCCAAAACGGGACAGATCCCTCTTTCCAGAGATGTCAAATGACTCTCTTCCCAAAGGCTGCTGAAGTTAGCCGACAGGCCACGCCTGTCTTTACAGCCACGGGTTGCCCTTTTTGTGCCCAGAGAAATGGAAGTGGTTCTCACTCTGTGATACAATGAATGCAGTTGAAGCAGCTGGTAGACCAGGCCCTGGTAGACAGTGAGTGACTTCTTATGATGAAATCCTGTTTTCTCCAAGACGTCCGGAGGCGTGGCACGGTAATGCTCCACTCGAGTGAAGCGCTGGGGGTGCGGCAGGTCCACCACACGCAATGCAGCAAATGGGCAGCGATGGCTGAACCTGATGTAGTCTTTTCCACTGGGGACAAAGGAGTGGGCTAGGAACAAAATATCCCCGTTTCGTGGACTTTCCTAATAAGAATGCTGCCTAGATTTTGACTGAAGCATTAGGGATGGGACGAGGCCTTCAAGTGAGATGAATGGTAGAAGGGCCCATCTGGTGACAACCACAGCACATGGAAGATAGTAAGTGGTAAGAGCATGAATTAAAAAATGACAGGAACGAAAATAGTATGTCACATGTCTGTGAATTATTACATACTTCCCCTTCACTTAATTTCACACACACATGTGAATGAAGGTGGACTGATATTGGGGAGTAGAGTTGATGAATGCATTCATGGAAATGAACCTGTCAATTTCATTACAAATAAAAGGGCTAAAACAATTGTCAGAAGGCATGAATTGATATCATCTAGTTCTTGTGGCTGCATATGAAAGTAAGAAGCCATAGGTGGGTGATGCATGCAGGTTACACTCAGCAAATGAAAATAATGGAAGAACCAAGATGAGCTTTGGGGGACATTGTGCACTCTTCTGAATGAATGGGATCCATGCTGGGTGACAAAAATGAATGGGTGGAAATCTCCCATTTGTGGGCCACCCCAGTAGGAATACCACCTAGATTTCAACTGTGCACTCTGTGTGGAACAAAGTTTTCCAAGTGAGCATTTAAAAATACTCACTTAAATTGTACAGTCACCTATTCTGTCTAACCACGTTGGTTATTTACCACTGAAACATTCCAGCAGGAAACACTTCCCATCTGCATGTAGCGAGAAGATTCTCTAGGACAGGGTTCCTCAACCTTGGCGACTTGAAGATGTGTGGACTTCAACTTCCAGAATTCCCCA